GCTGGCCTGGGAACGCCTCGGCGTCCTCCCCGAGGAGATGGTAGAGGTAGGTGGGGAGAGGGAGGTCTGGGTATGTCTCCTGAAGCTGCTAACCCCGCGATCCGAACCCTGGACAAGTGGTAGGTAATGGATAGATGGATGGATGGTTACTCATTTAAATCCGGTCATTGCTTTTCCATAATTACATTGTTTGTTTCTATTCCGTTATTTCGTGTTTGTTGTGTATGTTAAGTGTAATGTCTGTATTATGTTAGTTGTAGTGTTAGTTAGGAATAAATGCATGTCTTTTACACAACTTCAGCCTCCATTCATTGTGTGCTCATAATAGTCCCTGCCTATCTGGCTACTAAGCTTTGAAACCTCAAACTCGGCTGAAATATCGCAAGACTCTCTCTCATCGGCCATGAGGGGAGCTTCGCTAGCGATCGTTTACGGTGATGCAAAAGCAGCAAAAGCTGGTGATGCAGCTCGCTGGATGAGCCTTCTAACCCAGGTTACTAAGCGATACTGGTAGTTAGTGAATCCCACGTAAGTCTCACAATAACTCACGGGGATACCACAATTGAGTTTGGAGGAGCCGACCATTCGGCATAACAATTAATTAATAATCATCATTAAATAATAATTAATTAAAATTTAATTAATTTCAAAACATATTGGTGGAGATATTAAAATTTACCTGAGCTAATAATTCCTACACATCTAAAAGTAAAGATACAAGAAAAACACAGCGGCTAAGGAGGGAAACAAAATACACAACGGCTCAGAATGTTGAGGAGGGGACACAAAAACACAACAGTTCAGAATGTTAAGGAGGAGACACAAAAACACAACAGTTCAGAATGTTAAGGAGGGGACACAAAAACACAACAGTTCAGAATGTTAAGGAGGGGACACAAAAAACTATGGTTTAGATTGTTAAGGAGGGGACACAAAAAACAGCGGCTCAGAATGTTAAGGAGGGGACACAAAAAACACATTGGCTCAGAATGTTAAGGAGGGGACACAAAAAACACAGAGGCTCAGAATGTTAAGGAGGGGACACAAAAAACAATGGTTTAGATTGTTAAGGAGGGGACGCAAAAAACACAGTGGTTCAGAATGTTAAGGAGGGGACACAAAATACACAGTGGTTCAGAATGTTAAGGAGGGGACACAATGGTTCAGAATGTTAAGGAGGGGACACAAAAAACACAGCGGTTCAGAATGTTAAGGAGGGGACACAAAAACACAACAGTTCAGAATGTTAAGGAGGGAACACAAAAAACAACGGTTTAGATTGTTAAGGAGGGGACGCAAAAAACACAGCAGCTCAGAATGTTAAAGAGGGGACACAAAAAACACATTGGCTGAGAATGTTAAGGAGGGGACACAAAAAACACAGAGGCTCAGAATGTTAAGGAGGGGACACAAAATACACAGCGGCTCAGAATGTTAAGGAGGGGACACAAAATACACAGCGGCTCAGAATTTTAAGGAAGGGACACAAAAACACCCCCCTCCCACCGAGTGCTTTAAAGGCTCACTTTGGCCATCACTAACCAATCACAATGAGCAGTCCACCAGTGGTTCTGCACAAGGCTAAGCTAGCCGATCTGATCCTTTGCAGAAGAATTCTTCAGAGCATTTACATTTATTCTTTTTTAGCGGAAGCTTTTGTTCAAAGTGACATGCAAATGAAGCAGATAGTACATTACAGACATACATGCTGTCGAGGGGGTGACTAGGTGTAAGAGCGACTAGTCTGAGCTTCCAATGACTGCCCAGGTACAAGGATAAGCAAGATAGGAACTGGAGTTATGCAACATCTTCCATCAAAGTAGGAACCTAATAAAACTATATAATGACCAAAAGTGCAACATTATGAACACATGTGTTTTAATGGAATAAAATGTCTCTGACAATATATGACATCAAACATCACATTTTATTACGGAAGGAGACAAAAAAAGAACAGCAAAGAGCTAAGGCTTTAAAACACATGGCTATATTGTAAACAGTGACACCTAGTGGCCAGATGGAATGGCCAGTTTATTTGAAGTGATGCTGAGGGTCAGAGGAGGTAAAGGCTGAGCTTCCTCAGAATGGAAGTGTCCTCCCTGGTCTTCTCAAAGAAATCAGTGTAATCCCTTATTGGCTAAAACACATAAAATGACACACCAAACCTTTACGAATCAACAAACAGGACAAAATATTGACAGTGTTTTGGTCCAATGAATGATTTAGAAGTTTTGTCTTCAGATTTCACAAACTCACAACCCCTCCCAGCTTAATTATCTTTTTACCTCCTGTTACAATCCCCCCGTCTAGGGGTTGGGGTGTGAGAGAATGGATATAGAAAACGAGAGGGGCGTTTCTGGCTAATGAAAAGATCCTGGGCTATGTTAAGTCTACCTGGAGCTTCACTTTTTTCTTTTTTAAAGGAAGATTGGCATAAGGGCTAAAATACTCAGGTTCAGGCTTAAAATGATTGGAGCTAACGACGGCCATAGAAAGGGATACTGGATAAGGACACACCAAAGGTGGGAAAGTGATCAACAGGGAACTTAATATATAGACAGATGACGGATAATAACTGATGTGACATTTAAAAAGCACAACAAAAAACACCCAGTGATGAATTTCATCAGGAGTGACACAAACAAATAACAAACAAAACAAACTTGTGAGTGGGACCCAAAGCTAATCTGCCTACAGAAATGGAAGTCACTCCCTACACGTTGGCTCAAACACACGCATTGTGTACACCAGGGGTGGCCAATCTTATCCGCAAAGGGCCGGTGTGTATGCAGGTTTTTGGGATAACCTGTAGGTCAGCTGTTCAAACCCAGGTGTGAGAACTCTTCAGCGAATCAGTCCTTTAGTTAGTAATCTAATTAGGGAGTTGCAGCGAAAACCTGCATACACACCGGCCCTTTGCAGATAAGATACACATTCACACAGACCGAGGCAACAGTACCCAAAGGCAGAGGCGTAAACAAGTAAACCGTGCAGAGCGATCCGTAACCGAGCAAAACCAAAGAAACCAGCAGAAGTACAGAACGGAGAAGCAAAAAAATCGGAAATACCAGAAACAACCCAAAGTCATACATAACTGGCAAAACACAGGACAGAATCGCAAAATTGTACTATGAGCAGAACTCCTGAAATAGTTAAATGGTTTTTTTTTTAGTGACGAACTATACGAAGTGCAGAGGGAAGATGTGGGCGGGGTCGTGGAGGCGGAGCGGACGAACAGAGGGCGGAAGGAGGAAACGAGAAGGCGAATGGTGGACGGCAGGCAGACCTGTAACCATATACTCAATCACACGGCACGTAACGCTCCTCAATTTTTTTTTTGCCACCACCGGTTGCTCATAGTATAACACAACTACAAGTATCACCGCAAGTGGACCGGCGCTGCCTTGGGAAGCCGTCCTCCTTATCTTCCTCCTCCATGTTAACAGCGGTTTCTCTGCTCTTTGGCATGAGATGCTCATACATGCCCGGGATGTACCCAGCCTGCTGGAGGAAGACGCTCTCCTCCAAACCTTGTATAGATCGGATCAGGATGTTGCTGATGCGGTATGTAGATTCAGAGCTGAAGCTGTTCTGGTGAGGGGTGTGTTCTGTGATGTAAACCTCGCCAATCACCTGACCTGAGTCCATTCGCACAATGATTCGGTCGGTGTTGCATTCATCGCCTCCTATGTCGGCCTCACTGAAGGGAAGAGCAGCAGCACCATCGGCATGCAGGTTCCCCACCTCAAAGTAACAGCTCTGGCTTCCCAGTAACACTGGTACAATCTTCTCTAAGTTGTGGAAGACGTGGAACCCAAACTCTCTGGTTCTGGGATCTGTCTTGGCCAGCATCTTCCCCTTAGCGTCAAACACGATCCATTTGTTTGCCAGCCAGTGCAGAAGCTTCAGGCCACGTCTGGGGAATTTGTGCCCAAACCTCACACCACTTAAACCCTGAACTGAGGTTACAGTCGGGATCCTTCTGGATTCACTGTGAATTCCCATGGTAAATCTGGACAGACAGAAAATGAGGCTGAGCAGTTAGACCTGAAAAAAACAAGCTGAAAATTAGATAAATGATGTACAAGTATTATCTGTCATTGCTGATCTGTTTTTGTGTCGTCTTTTGTCCATTTTCCCTTACTTTTAATTCATTCCTTCATTCACAGGGGCCTTTCAGTATGTAAAATTGGGTGGGGGGACATGGTGACAATTTTCAAGGGGTTCCAAAATTTCTAGCTATGCCCCTGATATTGACAATGTATCACCAGTAACTGAGATATCTCTGCCCCCACAAGCTCACATAGGTAAAGGGTCGAAGAATTCACTCACATGAAGTCAATGGTGTAAGACACGCTTAGTTTTTAGGGACCCAACTCATTTCTTGCTTTTCTGCAGCCATCCTATATAAAAATACCTGCATTGTCAATGTGCTCACACTCTCATAACCAGGAAGCTTTACCTCCGTTTGAGTAGGCTGGGAGCAGGTGTCTGTCATCTGAGTTCTTCAGAAATCAGGATCAGGTGCTGGAAATGAAAGTGAAACTGAACTGGCCAGGGCAGTAGAACAGTAGGAGGAATCTAACAGTGATCCAGAGTGCTGAGCCCTCATCAGAGACACACTGGAATACAGCTACTCAGGAACTACAATCCATCCATCTAGCCTGCATAAACACTTAGGGACACCAGAACACCTAAACCACACATCCTTAGGATGTGAGGCAGTAAATGTGGCCGGGTCTAATGGACTGGTGTCCTACCCAGGATGCAGACCACTGCCAAGCTGAGGACTACAGACCAC